AGACTGTGATGAGAGCGACGTTCTGCAAAGGACCTGCTAAAAAGTTAGTTGTGTATCCTTTATAGGACGTTGCAAAACTAACCACAGCATATTTTTTTTTTTTTTTTCTGTTGTGGGTTTTCTATGCAGATTTACGTCCAGTAATTTGCCATTGCTTACTTGACGGTTGTCGGTTGGCTTCTTTATACCACTGCCGAAACCACGCAAGGAGCCAGGACTGAGTGTGGGATCGACCCAGCACCCCGGTATTACGAAGTGCGTTCGCAACGCCTAAGCAACAAAAGGACCTACTACATGATGATGATATATCATTGCTCTTTACTGTATATTACAAATACCCCGCTAGTGTTACTTTTGAAACACAGCGAAAGAATGCTCGCTGCTTGCTTACGACCCTCATGTAGAAACTATAACGTGTAAACTGTTACTAGTTTCACGATGCTGGCTGCGCACGTAAACTCTCAACAGCGAAGTGGCGGGGATAAAAATAGTACGTGATATCTCTCCAGTGTAATCTTCACCTGCTAACGCTTACACATGCGAATTTGCCACACCTTGTTACTGGTCTTAGCTAAGCAGAATAATTATCATATTTGTCTTCTTAGAGTTTTGCGATAAAAAACTCCAGCGAAAAATTTTGGTTGTTTGCCCACTTCTAGACTTTGATCTTCTCCAAGAACTCGAGTTTCACTTCTTCGCGCTCCTGCATTGCCGGGAAAGTACATCTACGCGAGTTCCTGAAACGCTAACACTCTAACGCTTGGTATCCACTCATGCCACATTTGTCCATTTTGAGCTTTCCACGACACCCACTGAGAATCAGACACGATAATTCCCCAGGTTACTCACTTACATTAATCTTGGTAACTCCAAAAGTTTGTAGATCCATCTGTAAATGTTATCTTCACCATCTTCTTGGTCTAATCCAATTTAACTCTTCGAGTCCCAGGAAACGCACCATACGTTCATATATTCTGACCTAGAAGCCCAATGAACGCATGATGTTTCGATTTTAGTCTCTCTTTACTACCCATTGGGACTGTGCTGTTAAACCCCCTAGGACTCAAAGAGTTAAGTAATAAAGTAAAGATCCCTTTTCACTCCTTAGGTGCATCGGGCATGTGGGAAGAGCACCGTATTTTTACAGACCAATCAAAACTAGGTGGGTAATGTGGTCGAGCATTACACCGACCGTCTTTACTTCCCCAGGACATACATCCTGGTACTCACTTTATGCTGGGTCGACCTGCGACGCCCCATACCATGATAACAATCCATGCAGCTAGCAGTGGGTTTCGATCGCGGTACGTTGAAATTACGAGTGGGAGTCGCAACGCCTAAGCCACGGCTAATTCGAGTCAGATCTTTTTGTCTGCAGTACTTGTCTCTCTCTATTATCTGGTATTCTCTCTATTTGTCCCAACCACTGCAGACAGACTGCTCATGGTCTGTAGTTAGGAAGACTATGAATCTGCAACCATGACCAGACCGTAGGAACAACACGTCAAAAGTGTGTGGCCAGACAAGAACACTATGCAGGAAGCCAAAGATGAATAAGAAACCAACATATAATTGGTGTCATCAGTTGCTACACGTTGCGGGATTGACTAAGGAGGGAATCTGAGCAGTTATGGACTGAATGCTTTGATATGCAGTGAGGGTAATCTGTCAACTAACTTACTAAGTTGAGAAGACACAAGAGCAAACAGACATGCAAGGCAGACTCACCTCCCAGATTGTCTTGGGCCTCACATAAAACAACTGGTCAATCTTGATTGTCTTGTCCCAGTTGTTGAACTGGAAGATTTCCACCTGTAGGCTACCTGCCAGCAATATCCTCAGGAGGGACAGAAGAATTTTCATTCTAGCGTACACCACTGCAGATAGAGAGAATACGGAGAAACATCACACAGTTTTCTTCTTTTTCTTCTTATTTTTTTAAAATCGGTTTCGTAGGCACAGGTCAGATCATCAGCCTCTATGAACTCGCATGTCAGCAGCAGGTCCTTCGTGGTTCCCATTGCTTGCTCTGCACACTTTGATCTTGATGACACGTTTCTATTCGATATTGCTATGGTAAAACAGAAGACACTTTGATGGAAGAGATTTAAGGCTCTGTAGCTTGTTTTTTGTCGGAGCCCTTGAATATAGCCCGATCATAAATATGGCCTAACAGCTGAAAGGGTTTTCTGGGACCTCTCCACGGCGTTCTTGACATCATGGTGGCACTTTGTGTCAGCATGTGTTTATCGCTTGTATGATGTCCTGGTGGGGTACAACAAGAGAGAGAGAGAGAGAGAGAGAGAGACAGACAGACAGACAGACAGACAGACAGACAGACAGACAGACAGACAGACAGACAGACAGACAGACAGACAGACAGACAGACAGACAGACAGACAGACAGACAGACAGACAGACATAGAGACTTGTGCGGTTCCGTGACTCACAGATTAGTGAATGCGGTTAACAATTGCATGATCCTTGAGTACTAAGATTCCTTTACAGCGTTGGACGGTTTAGGAATTTCAAAAAAAAAAAAAAAAAAACTTCTCGTGTGATTTTGGCCAATGTTGAATTAAGAATCGACCTCATAGCACTCGGGACACTTCCATAAGCGCTCTGTCCCTATCTTCAGCAAGATCCGATGGTGCCAGCAACAGTGTGATTTTGTGCGCCAGTGTTGCCTGTCCCTTGAGTGTCAACGTCAGCCAGATTCCCTAGTAGCTCCCCACAGCCCCATTTGGGGTTTTGGCTCAAGTTCCGTGAGTAGACACTTGGCTGGGTTGTGGTTTAAGTTCCGAGAGTAGACACTTGGCTGGGTTGTGGCTCAAGTTCTGAGAGTAGACACTTGGCTGAGATTGTAGACTTTCTAATATTTACAAAACTAACAAATGTGGAAGAGACAAAATTAAAAATATTTTTCAGGACATCAGGAGTCTCTCTTGGCAGTGGCGAAACATCACAAGCTAGCGTGGTTCCGACACGTGGTGAGACATGATTCGATGGCAATGATGTTACTTCAATAAACAACGTTGGGGGAAGGGTGATCGTTGGGTGGTTGGGGGAGGGGGTGTTGTCGAGCAAAGAAGAACCTGAAATCACAATATCAAGAAATGGACAGGACTTAGTTATCATACACTTATTCATCAAACAGAAGACAGAGAAAGATGGTGGGTTTTATGTGCTAGTGCCTCCGTCGATACACCTCCACAACCCTAATGGGTCCAGGGTTATGTTATGTTTTTTATGTTATGTTATGTTATGTTATGTTATGTTATGTTTTGTTATGTTAAGAAATATTCTCAAAGACAACAGTGGTAGACTGCCGCCAATCTTCATTTTTTAAGCGAAATTTTGGAACAGGGTAAAGTCGCAGTGGCGTTGGCGGCTAGACGCCCGTCTGCAAATTGGAAGGTCTTGGGTTGGCGTCATGGCGGAGCCTTGAACTTGACTCAAGGTCTACCCAGCCTTGAGTGGGTACCAGGTGTAGTCCTGGGAAGGTAAGGCGGCTAGCGTGATGCTGACCACATCCCCCCCCCCCACCAAGTGTCGATTGGTCTATAAAAATAAAGGTCTAACCTTATATTCCCAAGACGCCCACAGGCGTGGAAGAGGGACCTTTACTTTTTAATTTATTTTGGAAGGGACCAACAAACGCCAGGTACTTACAGGAACTTCGAGCTTGTTCATCTACGGCTCGAACGTTTCGACTGAGAGGCCCACTGATTTCATCGAGAAGGGGCGATCTCTTGAATACTGTGTGAGCTGAGGATACAACATTGCAGATGGTCAGTGCACAGAATATGTTAGTCTTTGTCATTTGTATAGTAGTTTGGGTGGTCATTGGCGGAATAATTAGCGGTAGCTGCAACACCAGCGGCAGTGGATGTGGCAGCAGCAGTGGTAGTAATTTTACTACTACTACTACTACTAGTAGTAGTAGTAGTAGTAGTAGTAGTAGTAGTAGTAGTAGTAGTAGTAGTAGTAGTAGTAGTAGTAGTAGTAACAGCAGCAGTAGTAGTAGTAGTAGTAGTAGTAGTAGTAGTAGTAGTAGTAGTAGTAGTAGTAGTGGTGGTGGTGGTGTGATGGTAGTAGTAATAGTAGTAACAGCAACAGTAGAAGTAATAGTTGTTGTTGTTCTTTGTAAAGTAATGCTGGTGATGGTTATCAGTAAAAGTAGTAGTTAGGTGTAGCAGAAGTAGTTATAATCGTAGTAGTAGTTGTTGCAGCTTTGGGGGCAGTAGTGGTAGATGTGGCGGCTTCAGGGGCAGTAGTAGTAGTAGATGTGGCGGCTTCGGGGGCAGTAGTAGTAGATGTGGCGGCTTCGGGGGCAGTAGTGGTAGAGGTGGCGGCTTCGGGAGCAGTAGTAGTAGATGTGGCGGCTCCGGGGGCAGTTGTAGTAGATGTGGCGGCTTCGGGGGCAGTTGTAGTAGATGTGGCGGCTTCGGGGGCAGTTGTAGTAGATGTGGCGGCTTCGGGGGCAGTAGTAGTAGATGTGGCGGCTTCGGGGGCAGTTGTAGTAGATGTGGCGGCTTTAGGGGCAGTAGTAGTAGATGTGGCGGCTTCGGGGGCAGTAGCAGTAGATGTGGCGGCTTCGGGGGCATAGTGGTAGTAGATGTAGTAGTCGCAGCAGCAGTAATAGATTGGGACAAACTAGTGTGAGATAAAGTTGAGAACCCCTGAGATAGAGGCTTAACAGTTCTTTTGTGAGATAAAGTTGAGAACCCCTGAGATAGACACTCAACAGTTCTAGTATGAGATAAAGTTGAGAACCCTTGAGATAGAGGCTTAACAGTTCTAGTGTGAAATAAAGTTGAGAAATCCTGAGATAGAGGCTTAACAGTTTGTGCATAGAATGTGAACACTATCTACACTAGCTTACCATCTTTGGGCTCATTTCCGATGTCGACAAAGGTATCTTCCAGACCTGTATGAAAAGAAGTCTTGTAGATGTGAGAATTTTTCTTGCATCATTATTATTGTTGTTTTCGTTATTGTATGGATTATACTTGGTTTCCGGTCTATTATGGCGGATAGACGAGCTGACTTTTTTTTTAAACGTAGCAAATTATTTTCTGGCGGCGCCCGAGGCTAAGGCGTTGCGAGCCCAACTCGCAATTCCAACGTACCGTGATCAAAACCACTGCTGGCTGTGTGCATTTTTTATCATATGGGGCGTCGCAGGTCGACCCAGACTAAAATGGGTACCAGGATGTATGTCCTGGGAAGTAAAGACGGCCGGCGTAATGCTGACCACATTACCCAGCTAGTGACGAATGGTCTAAAAAATATGGGTGTTCTTCCCGTATGCATGTTACGCCTAAAGGCGTCAAAAGGGATCTTTACTTATTTTTACTTACTTACTAAGTTATTGCCTAACGACCATAGTTAGATGCTGTATTTCCTCCATCTTTGGGTAAAAATATTAACGTCTGTTGGTTGACTTTCTGCTGGTTTCTTCTCATTATGAGTCAGTTGTACCGCCATCATCTTTGCCTTAGAACTGTTGATACAAGTGGTTGCCCAGCCATTTCTTTTATATATATATATAAAAAAACTTTCCACTTGTGGGATGCCATTTTTAGTTATTTTGAAGCCCCACCCTGGCTGTTTCCGTAGGCCTTAATATAAACTGATGAGCGGGGTTTCTAGGACTAATCCACAGGTGATTATCATTCGCATGGTGGCACTTTATGTCACCAGCTGTTTATCGCTCTGTGTGATGTTTAAATGCAAGAAAGATTAGAATTGCTTCTGTTTTTTTTTTTTTTTTTGCGTTCAGCAGCTGTAAACTGGTGAAAAGTTCTGGTTGTTTGTCACTTCTGGACTGCAGTCCTGTTCCAGAACCTGAGTGTTGCTTGTGCATCCGTTTGACAGATCTGACACATTTGTGTGCAGACTCCTGGTGCCTTGCCTCTCAGGCAGATGCACTAGGAGTTCAAAGGAAGCTCCTAATTGGTCGACTCTTTCTACATGCTTTTGGGTAGGCAGTGGGTCTATTCTTGTTTTCTCTATTCTAGGGTCCGGGAAACCACACAGGGGACATAAGAATTTAAAATACAGAACTTAGTTTGAAAACTATACAATTTAGAGTTCCATAGTTTATTCAAGCTGTTAAAAGCTATTGATGCCTTGATAATGCGTGTCACAAGTTCTTTCTTTGTATTATTACTGTAGACAGGGTGTGAAAAATGACATTACAAATTATCGTGATAGTACTTTCCGTTTGGATTCCGGGTAAGGATTGTGGGGAAAGCAAGAATATACCCATTGCACCCCCCCCCCCTATCAGCACGTGGTAAGAGTCGACTTCTTTTGGGAACTTCTTTAAAAGTCATAGTACATCTGCCTAGGAGACAAGGAACCAACAGTCTGCATACAAATAACTCATATATGAAAATCTGAAATGCATGGAACACTCAGGTTCTGAAACAAGACTAAAGTCCGGAGATAGACGAATAGGCAGAATTTTCGGCGGATTCACAGCCAAAGAACGCGAAGAAGAAGAAGAAAAAGCAGATCACGTATTTTTGTAAGTTGTACCCCACCAGAAAATCACACAAGCGATAAACACCTGGTGACACAAAGTGCCCCCTTTGGATGAGGAACACCTGTGGAGAGGTCCCAGAAACCGCGTTCAGCCATTAGACCAAATTTATTACCGGGCTATATTGCGGCCCCTGGCAAGAGCCGGGGTAGGACTTCAAAATAGCGAAACATCTCATCACACAGGGGGATGACTAGAATTGTTCGCAGATCATGACATTACTACAGACATGTTTTGACAAATGTTAGCTCAAATTATCATGACAGGTTTCTGTAAACCGCACACAATATTAGACAGTACTTGCTTGATTTGAGTAAATACAGTCTCTTCTTTTGTTAAGATGTTTTTGATGATGTCTGTTATATTGAGGTATGGTGTCCGCCTCGAGTGCTGGAGGTCCTGGGTTCAAGCCACGGTGACAGCTGGGGTTTTTGGACATGGACTTCTAGCATTTTCCCCTGGTTCTATGGATAGTAAGATTGGACGCCCGTGTGTACTGTTGCGCACGTAAAAAAATACATTGAAAGTTAGAAATTGAAAAGAGTAGCCTTACAGCGCTGCCCAGTTTAAGTTTAAAAATCTACCCTAAGTATTTCAGGATCCACGCCGGTGCTACAGAGTTCGTGCCCTGCGCTGAGATTCTTCAGTCTCAAGTCTTGAGTTAGAAGTATAACGCAGCACTTATGGCTTGCATCCGTGTGCCATGATGTTGATCCATTAAATAAACATGAAGCTCATGCCAATACTGAAGACAGGTTGTAAAGTATGTGACCACAAGTCTTACCTGGCAAGCTGTTGAGGTATCTGCCGCCCACACCTTGACTGGACAGGTAAACGAGAACGCAAACGAGCAGGGGAGATAAATGCTTCTGCATCCTCGGTACAGATGACTACAAGCTGGAAATAAATGGATTGTACATTAGAGTGTGTATGTGCATGCGTGTATGCGTGTGTGTATGTGCATGCATGTATATATAATAGTATTTCTGCGCAGTTAAACAAGTCCTAATTCACCCTGGCTGCGAACCTGTATAGAGCATCGTAGGTACTTTTTCTATGTGGGCAAACCATTTTATCTGCGATCTGTATGTAATTCAGTTTGGTTCTAGTGAGCAAACCATTTT